GGGGACTGTAGAGAAAACAGAGCATCAGAGAGAGCGAGGGTGAGAGAGAGACAGAGTGTGACATAGAGAGAGAGACGGCCAGACATACAGACTGACACGCAAATCTGTCCTCATTCGTGCTAAATTAAGGTTTGATGCCTTAAAAAAGAGCGGTTGCCGAAACAAAAAACCCTCGAGAGGAACGTGGGTTTCGTGGTTTTTGGGCTCAACGTGGGGATTCCGATCAGCCTAGCCTAAAGGCCAGAAAGCGCGAGAGGGAAAGAGAAAAGAGAAAGGGCTGGATGGGTACGATTTATGGACCAATTTCCTCGGCGGCTAGAAGAAATGATGGCTGATGGGTTTTTGAGCCTGGTGGTCCAGAGCAAAAACCAGCGAAACCACGTAAAGGTTCAAGAAAGGCATTGTTACCGTGTCCGGAAATACAGATTTTACTAGGCCCTTAATCAAGAACCAGGGTTGAAAAGCCGATTCGCGACTTTTCAACCCTGGCCCCTTCTGGTTCCATGATATTCTTTACTTTACATAATTCTCGCGTTTTCGATGACAAAAAGGAGAAAGGCTACTTCTCTTCCTTAATATAGGCTGCCGCAACTTCCGGCGTATGCTAATTGTTTCCTAACAAAGAGGGTTCTCGATTTTTCAACAAAGACTTGATTTTAACGTCGAAGACAGCTAATTTTTGAAAAATTTATTAGTGTGCAGTCATCCCAAGACCATTACGCACCTAATGAGGTATAATAAATACCTCTAACTACCCCCTTTATTGAGATACTACTGGAACACGCTGACGGAAGTTGCATGCAAAGTGGCACGGACACACTCACACACACAGACACTATTTTTTTATATACCAGGGTTGAAAAACCGCTTCGCGGCTTTTCAACCCTGGCCCCGTCTTCCCCAATAATATTCTTGGCTTTGCATAATTTTCCCGAATTCGGATGACGAAAAATGAAAAATGCTCTTGCCGTCCCTTTATATAGGCTACCCCCACTTCCGGTGCATGCTAATTTGATCCTAACAAATTGGCGTGTCCGATTTTCCATGAAAAACTTAATTTTAATGTCGAAAACATCATATTCTGTAAAATCTGATATGTGTGCATTCATCTCCAGGCCATTACGCACCTAATGACGTATCGAACATATCCCTAAGTACTTCCCCCTCTTGAGATACTACTGGAACAATACTGGAACTTGACGGAAGTTGCATGCAAATGCACACACACACTATCCTATCCTATAAGCGAGAAAAGTATGTTTGTTTTCTGTAATGAAGATTTCTCGGTCGTCTGGCCGAATTTCCGGCTGATTTTTGGCATGGACGTTGAGAAACACATTTGTCAGTGACGCATTTTTTTGTTTTGCGAAATTTCTTCATTTAACGATTTTACAACCAAAATAGTGAAAAACCCTTAACATTTCGCTGAAAAAAAGGTATGTCCGGAGGTTTTCTCGGCCGCTAAGCGGAGTTGGGCTCTGATTTTTGGCGGGTGAGTGGTAAAAGCAATTCTCCCGATACTATTTTTTGGATTTTACCAAATTCCTTAAAATAAAGTTTTTATGAGCATTTTACTAGAAGGTCCTTAATAAAATGGCCACAGTCCCGTGGTGTCAGGGACATAACTCGAATCCCAGATGGAATTTTGGGCTGTAATTTGGTCCACATATGTATTCGATAGTGAGGATCACGCGCATCTTATTATTTTTACAAATTATCGGCGCATTTAGATTCAAAAAGAGAATTTTGTAAAGTTACCAGAAGTCCCCTCGCGGGATGAGCCCGCCCCCAAGACAGAAGAGGCCTTTCCCGCCGCCCATCCCCATCTCCCCCGTGGTCTACTGGAAAGGCGCCTGGCCTACCAAGCGTGTGGTCCGGGTTCGAATCCACGCCGAAATTAACTTTTTGCTTTTTGGTAGTCCAACAGCAAAACATATTTCTATGGTCTCGGTGTGCGAGTTTTAGGCCTGGCCCTCGCTCTAGCGCCGCAGGCCAAAGAAAAAAAAATTTGACCCAGGCTCTGGCGCCGCAGGCCAATCCTGGAGAAAGCCCAGTAACTAGCGCCGCAGGCTCAAAGATTCTAGCGGAATGCTGGCTCTGGCGCCGCAGGCCAAAGAAAAGCTCCTTGAATTACGCTTTCGCGCCGCAGGCTAAATCCGGGCGAAAAATCAGTAGCTAGCGCCGCAGGGAAAAGTTTCTAGCGCGAAGCTGGCTCTGGCGGCGCAGGCCAACGAATGGTTCTTTGAGTCAGGCTCTTGCACCGTCCGGCTTCAATAAAAGGAAAGGGAATTCATGATTCCTAGACGGGGGTCCAGTGGAAAAGGGCCGCGAAGCGGTCATTTTCCACTGGTTTTTTTATATATAGTAGGATAGTAGGATTTCCGCGTTACATTTTCTGTCACACAGAAAACGCGGTTTTGCATGATGATACTTATTTTAATTAGTATTTTTCGTTATTTTGGCATCCAAGCCACAGAAAAATGCATAAACGCTTGGCGCTTATTTGGCTTATCTAGCCCTTTAGATCGCGCAACACGGCGTTAGGGGATGCGTAAACTAAGCTAAAATTGAAGCAAATAATTTGGCAACCTGAAAGGCGTATTTTCTCGTAGAATGGCAGCCAGAAGACAAAATAAAAGCGAACACAAGACGGAAGAACGTTACTCTCCTATCGACACCCCGCTCCGGACATTGACTTCTCATCCCGAAGCGCATTGAGGTAGGAAAGTGGTGTCGATTTTTGGAATGGAGTAAACGAGAGAAAGAGAAAAGGAATTGGCATTTTGGAGGGTAGAAGGCAGAGAAGAGAAATGGAAGGGACACGCCTCATCGGAGGGATGGGGGGTCTTCTCTTCTTCTCTTCTTCTTCTGTTTCAGTCCGATGGCTATGTACCCCCAGGATACGAAGCCAGAGAAGGGAGGGGATTCCGGAACAAATTGTTTCATTTCCTCTCCCGTTTTCTGGATCTCTCCTTTGGGCGTTTTTCGGGTCTTTGACGACCAGATTGTGCCATTTGAAGCCTTGATTTGGGGCAAGATAGCAGGGATTCTTGAGGAAAGCGGTTTTGTTCTTTGGAATCTGCTGATCTGGTTAGCAATCTAGCAAAGGCCATTTAGGAAAACCCGCCAAGGTCAGAAAACAAAAAATTCGAGGCATGCTAGGAACGATTGCAGGAAACAACTTTCTCTTTCTCACTCTCTCTCTCACTCTCTCTCTCTTCCCTTCTAATGCCAGTAAGCCAAAAGCCACGATTTGCAGCCCCACTGCTCCATTTGGTGCCCCACGGTTAGGTCATTTCCGGGCGGCTACTAGACGCTAAAAATGGAGTCAGGAACTCTTCACGTTGCAAATGTGGCTTAGGGCATCACAGCACAAACTGAAAGATGGAAATCAAGAAAATAAAGTAAAGGCAAGCTAGCAGAGATCATTTGCTCAGAAATAATGTGAAAATTTAGCGGGTCTAGCGTGCTCCGGCAAAAGTTTAGAAAAGAACGATGGCAAGCTAGCAGAGGTTATTGAGGAATTGCAAAACTTATAGGAATTATCTTTCTGTCTGCCGGTCAAGATATTAAAATTAAGAAAGATTATAAATTATGAAAATCGGATGGCTCAGGAGTATAAACCCCCATTTTTAGCCACAGTCGAGATGCAAGCTAGCAGAGATAATTCAGGAATTATAAAATTTCTATAATATTGTTATCTGACAGCCAATTAACCGAGTGACCTCAAGAAAAATTGCAAATCACGAAAAATAGAGGCTAGAAATTTATACCTGACAAATGGTTCGGGGGAATTCCCAGAAAAGGACCCATTGGGGTGGCCCTTATTTCTGGCGGATGAAACCGGATCCCCTCCACTCAAAAATCGACCATATCCTGCATATATTTTCATAAATTGGCATACGGCCAACTGGTTTTTGAAAGCTAAAAGTTCACAATATGCCAGTTTTGACCAAAAGTTTTAAAAGCTAGAAATCATCACGCTATTTTTGTAAATATCAAAGTACAAAATAAATCGTAAAATTTCACTCATAAGGTTTTTAATTAAATTTTTAGGCCACGGTTCTCGAAAAAGTTTTTTCTAAGAAATTGGTTGCCATTGAAGTGCCCCCATCGCGTGAGAAACAACAATTTATTGCCGGAAATTGCCCTAGAAATCGACACGCATTTTGCATATCATGTGCATAAATGATCGATATTAAAAAATGAGACCCGTAAATTCATAAAAAAGAATCCGTTATGGTACTCTTGACACGCTACAAAACCATGTATAATTAATAAATTGGTGCCGAACCAAGTTGAAAAATGCAAACCATAAAATCTAACTAATCTGGCTGAAAAGGCCCGACAAAAACTACCCAAAAAAATTCAATTTTCGACATAGAAAACCACAAAAAAATTGCAATACAATTTAAGCTGCCGTAGCCCTCCTATTGTACGTAATCCTCGAGACGACCTGCTTCAAGTTTACGACAGTTTTCTGATCGGACGATGAGATCATGGAGACGCTTTTTCTTTGTCTCGTGGGTTTTCTAAAAAACGGCATTTTCTGAAATTATTTGATTTTTGCGACATAATCGATTAAACTGGTTGCAGAATCCAAATAAAAATTAAGCACGTACTTTAATGTCAAAACCCTCATTGCGCCGTCACGGATCGACTTGTTGAAAAAGAGGTTCAGGAGGGGTTGGGCAATGGCGAGACCCTGAAAAACGACATGTAGTTTGTAGCTGCTAGTTTGCAGCTTAAAGTAGCTTAAATTTTAGCTAGGGTAACTTTGCTGCAAAATTCCTTTTTTTGGCAAATCGTCTTTTTTTATTTTTTGACAATGTATTTTGTGGTCTAAAAAAGCCTCCATTTTGTATTTTCGCTTAAAAATCCTACCATAGTAGCAATATTCAAGCCCAGCGGAAATGAGATCGGCATCACCGGTTTCATCGGGATATCTGGTGTCAGAAAATTGAAGAGCACTCCGTTTCCACCGGTGAACAGGCAGATCAACACACCCTAAAGAAAATAAAATTCATCAGAATGTGCGATTTTTGTTAGAGCGCCAATTGGCTTCCAGTGAAGATTTTGTGCGACAAAACAAAAACAGGTTAGCCAATAAATTTTACCTAAAAATCGCTTGTAATCTGGAATTTTCCGAATTATTGCCTAAGCAGTCCCTTAATCCGTAACTTTAAAAAATTCAGAGCTGTACCTGGGCCAGTAACACCATTCCACCACGATGCTTTCGACGCGCATTTCTTTGCAACTAAAAATCTATATTCGACGCACTTTTACAATTTAAATCTTCAGAAAGTTCGTTACCTTGGCCCCCTTATGTCCCATCCACTGAATATACGCAAAAAGTAGAATATTCGTAAACAGTATCGTAATCGGATAGCCGAGTCGTTGGAACACGTCAAACTACAAAAATTAACTAATTTAGCAACAGGGTTAATCGCTTACGTTATGGAATTGGAAGGTTTTCGCTTGTTCTTCAGTGCAACTGTAGAAGAAGGACAGGTCTGAATCACAGAATTCGGGTAAAAATCTTGACTGTCCGGTTCCTTTAAACCACAAAATGCTCCGAAACCCTAGATTGGATGCCAGTTTAACCGATTACGACATAAAATTAAAACTATGGTTTTTTTTCTGGATAAATTAACTGACCAGTGGAACAGCTTTTAGTCATTGAGATGTCCATAAAAATGTTGATCTACGCTCACGGACTTACGAGGCAATAAATCACGAAAAAATCGAAAACCTACCCTCAGCCCGAAAAGATTTATCGCAGTCTGTAAATGTCTCGACGCACGTCTCGGCAATTGACATCATCCAAATTAGAGTGAGGAGGCTGGAAAAAATGTAGAGCGGATTTTTCAAGGCTATAAAAAGAGGCAGACTAGCAGGACTTATTGCGGAATTCTGGCTCGAATGCACCTCCCAATGAAGCTCTGCTAACCTTTCCGTTCAAAATAAATATGGGTTTTTTGCGTCGAATCGGTATCCTCCATCAACTCTTCTAGCCTACAATATTCCTTTGGGCCTGTCCCCCAGAATTTCTGCCAGCTTGCCGTAAACGAGCTAGCTATTTTTTACTTTAAGGTATCCCGAAACGCAATTCCCAAAGAATCCCTGTTAGCTTACCCTCAAAAACTAAAAATGCAATGAATTTTTTAAACTTACATATTAACCATTTTCCCGCCAAAGACTCGATCATTGATGCGCGGGAACATGAATATCGTTATCGAATTCAGCGTGGCAAATAGGACGAGCATCATTGATGTCTAAAAATACAAAATTAAGATACAAATAATCAAAAATTACCTTAAAATTAACATATTCATAGGCTACGGCCGACCGATAGAACCAATAAACTGGGGTGTTGTTGTAAATCTAAAAATGTAAATAGTTTCGGTATTTCCAATATTTTCAGCGCACGGGGGTTTTTAAAGGGACAGTGACAGAAAAATGTAGCGCATTTCCGGGCAGCCAGAAAGCGTGGAAATCGAAAAAATCGAGAAAAATTAACTGCCATGCTCCTTTAGAAAGCCGTATGCCAAAAAAGGGTTACATCGTATCCAATTATCGTGATCGGCACCGAAAGCGTCAAATGCATACAGCCCTAAAATATGTTTTTTTTTCGGAATTAGAGTCGGATTACGGTACCTGCAAAATATTGACATAGCAGTCATGGAGGTGGAATTTGTAGACGGCACTCAAACCGGCAGGGAGGTACTGTAAGAGAGTAAAATTAGGGGGAATTGGCTGTGGAAGGGGAAAATTTGCCAAATAATCTCTGCAAGACGGCCGTGCCATTAGAGAATTGGATTTTCCCGAAGAGTCTCTGCTAACTGAACCAATCCCTTTAAAACTCACGAATAAAATCACAATAGCCACTAAAATATTCGTGGAAAACAGGGTAATTTCGAGTGGTATATAGACGATAAATGCTATCAAACGATCGCTATACGGAATCTGAAAATGTCGTTTTTAACTGTCGCACTGTCTTTATCACCCATCAAAAACCCAAAAAGTACATTTACCTACCGGAGTTTGCTCCATCGGCCAAAGGACCAGCAGATGGAAATGAGGTATGTTCCGCGCGACAACTCTTGACGGACGGCGCTAACCAATTAGAAGTTGGGGCTGAGCAAAAAAGCATTTATTCCCGGGACGGAAAGGTGAAATTAGGTTCCGATCGGAATTGGACTCGGAGAAGGAGAGGGCGAGAGGGAGACACAGAGAGAGAGAGAGAGAGAGAGACAGAGAGACATCAAAACTCGATAAAACCAGGAAATCAGATTCCCGGCTTGCCATTTATTCTAATGGTCCATGCATGGCCCAGAACCGCCGTTCCAAAACTTTTTTTGAGGGGTTACGGTGTTCCGTAGAATCCATGCCATCCAATGCCGTTGCCTCAACCCATTCTCTGCTAAATACACTTCTGCACATTGTAATTTTGGTCACGAAAACCTTATAGCCACTTTTAGCAGAAATTTTTCCTGAATGCGACCAATTTTTCAGGTAGGCGGATGCAATAAGTTCGTGACAAAAGGCACCAATTTTAGCGCGGGCGTTTTGCCGGTTTCTGCCCATTCTAAATAGGTGATTTCAAACGGTTGAATGGGTATAAATTACAGGTGGCTTTACCTGTCGTGTACATTTAAAATTGGACGTCGTCAAAAATGGGCGATTCAAGAGGGCGAGCAATAAAACAACAATTAGTACAAATTTTGCTGTCAAAAATGAGAGCAAGGAACGTAACAAAATGAAAGAAGAAAAGAAACATAGCCGTAGCCTGGGCCGCAAAAAAAAACGTGTAAATAGAAAACATAGTTTATTAGCTGTCCTACCGCCAAAAAGTCGTAAATTCAGCAAATGAACGACTCTTAATAATTTCCAAAGCAACTATTTTGAACAGAAAAGTTAGCTTTCCATTTGGAACATTCAGAATTGGCTCTGATCACCGCAGTTTAGTTTCTCCATGGCTTCTTGGTGCCTAGAACAAATTGCATTTCCGCAAGGCATTATCGGGCGCATGCAAATTGCATTCCAACCCATTTTCGTTAAATTCCGCTCGGCACGTTTGACTTTTACGAGGTGATCGCGCCGCAAAAGGTTAAACCTCAAATTCCGGATTCCAAAATCAAAAGGTCTCGCAATCTCGGCTTCAAGGGCAAAATCGACACGTGATTACGGTATTTAAACAGGCCGCGACAGCTAGAATTTATCGGTTCTTTCCATTCCCGTGCTCTCTCGCTGCTTAGAATCAAGACAAATACTGTGTCGCCGTCCCTTCAAAGTTTATGAAATTAAAATCCGCAAAAAAACAGTAATTTGGACGTTTACAGCTTTACTTTAATTGCAAAATTCTGGACTTCGGGCTACCCCCTGTGCGCTCCCTCCCCTTCGCCGAAACGCGCGCGACCTGGCTCACTATGTCCCCCACCCCTTTCACTAGCAAGAAGACGTTTTTGGGTGTCGTCTGGACTTTGGCATGGGACCACGCCTATCTTGTCCAGAATTTTACGCTGATTCCGAATATGGTAACTGTTTTTGCGGAATAGCCATTTCTCGAAAGTTATGAACGATTTAAACCTCAAAACAGCCCAAAATCATCGGCTACTTCCGATAGTCATAAAAGACGTCGGAATAGGTTTGAGATAAAACTTTATAGTGCATCTTGTTCAGAAAAAATTCTCTATAAAATGAGCTACTTAACTCAAAAATGTTGGAATTTTGAAAATTTTTGTAAAATAGGGGCCTCCCAATTTATCAAATTTTTCTAACTTTTCAATGATTCTGGAGAAAGATGGTACATTTTATAGAGAATTTTTTTCTGAACAAGATGCACTATCTGGTTTTGTCTAAAACCTATTTTGGAAGCCTTTTATGACTATCGAAAGTAGCCGATTTTGCGCTGTTTTGAGGTTTAAATCGTTCAGAACTTTCGAGAAATGGTTATTCCGCAAAAACCGGTTACCATATACGGAATCAGCGTAAAATTCTGCACAAGTTAGGCTTTGGTCCCATGCCAAAGTCCCGACGACACTCAAAAACGTCTCCTTCTAAGTAAAACTTTTCAAAGTTAAATTTAATAATTTAAACGAAAAACTTTTTCATAATTTTTTATCAGTTTGGGGGTTTCTGACCACGCTCTATCCGAATCCGAAGAGACCTAAGCTCTAGCTCCTTTCCCCTTCGAGTTGAATTCGGTTTCAGACGGACGGACGCGTCAAGAAAATTATTATAGTTGATACAACAACACCCGATTTTATTAGTTTCTGGATCGGGGCAGCTTAAAATACTTCAGTTTTAAGGAGATTTTTGACGATTGTGTACCTGAATTTTTATTTTTGCGGATGGCCAATGCGGTTTGCAAATCGAACGCATTTTTGAGGTCTTCTGAAAAGTTTAGGTGTATTAAAGTTCCTTTTGGAATCCCTGCGCCATTTTAAATGTCAGTGATCAATCGATTTTGCTCCTGAAATGTCGTCAAGTCATATGATGATGATGATGATGATTCATATCAAACGGTGCATCGCCGTCATCGCAGCGCCCCGGAAAAAGCCATGTGGACGCCCTAACTTTCTTAAAACGACGTGCCACTTTTTTATAACTTTCCCCTTCTTTCTTATGGGAATTAAATTACAAAAACACTGCTGAACATATTTTAATTGTATTTTTAGGCATCCACCTCGACTTGGTCAATTTTTCCACTAAAATCTATCGCTTTCCCTGAAGAAGCGACTTACTTAATTCATCAAGTAGCATAAAATTTATGCTGAAAATGGAGTTAAGCTTTATTAATGGTGAGCGCCGCAGTTCTTAGTGATCCAAAATTTCAGAAGCGGACTAGAACGATGTTCCGTGTCCGAACAATTGTTGTGTTTTTGGATGAAACTCTTCACGGAAACTGAAGACTACGTGAGAATTTGTCATCTAAAATTGAAATTTAAAATCCAGGCAGATATTATTTTACGAATTAACGTACTTTCAAGAAAAAAACAGCAAAACCCGATAGACGGGCTGCAAAGACGCCTTGCCAGCTGAAAAGCGTCTAAAAAATTTTTCAAAGGGACCCTGCCCACCGCAAACAAGGGTATGCGGCAGAAGTCAGACCTTCAACAACCCATCTATCTCAATGGCGCACAACGTAAGAAAAATTGCCTAGAATTTTTGATCGGAAGTTTCTCAGACGTCGTACGTTTTTTAGGAAAGATGCTCGATGATGACAGGCAAATTTATATGGGATCGATGCTTTTTATCGAGATTCGGTGACTTTTGGCAATCGGCCAGGACTATGTGAATTTCGATTTACCGTTATTTCCATTAGTTCTTTTAGCTTCTTGTCATGAAATTCTGACAACAATGATTACTAAATTCATCGCTTACCCCGTAGGTACTGGGCGACTTTGTTGTTCAGTTTACACTAGGATCAACCAGAGAAATGTCATAGATTTCAATCTGGAAATTGGGTTAACCCTTCCAAATTAAATTTTGCTGGGCCCTATAGCGTTCGGCATCTTGAATTTCAGGAAACATTAGAAAGGCTGTTGTGAGACCCATCAATTCATTGATATTTTGTTAATACACGTGGAATTACTAAAGTAATCAAACGTTGTGCTAGAACTCGAGCTCCTTCTCACGGTGGACTCCAAATAGCGAAACATTCGAGCCGTGTGATACCAGTAGGAAGTGATGATTTGGTGCTTTCCGGACCCTATATTCGACGAGGCGGATTGCAATACTTCATTTCCAACGAAACGTAAGGTGTGACGAAGCAGTACCACGCCTTTCCTAGAACCCAAGCTCATCACCGCACAACCCCGGCGACCACCAAGGTGCCCAGCCCAATTTTTTTACCAACAACCTATCACAACGTATGAACCATGTAAGTAACTATATTTATCTACCTCTGGAAATCTAAAACTTCTAGAAAGAACCACCGTCAAAAAATACCGCCATGGCTAATGGAATGGAACAAGAATTAGATTACAAGCTTTCAAATTAAATTAAAAATTATCTAAACTAACCCCCAGCGCGGTGTGGACCATTTGATCCACATGTCGCGCTATTTCATACATCAAAACCGGATCAGGTGGGCAAAGTCAGCATCGTTTCCAAGATTATCGCCCGGATAATACACGAAACTCTGTGGAACTATCTAAAAGAATAAAAATTGCTTTCGAACCGCCAATTTAGATTTATCTCGCCTAACCGCTCGACGACTTGACAACTACTAAGTCATATTCAAAGCCAGTTTTTGGCTCAAGAAAAAAAGATTTTCCTCGGACGTTGTCTATATTGATTTCAAAAGAAAAAAAAATGTTTCAAAAATAGCTTGCTGCTGTCGAAAAGGAAATGCAGAGAGCGTGAGGTATACCGAGGAAATATCAGACTTTCCTAGAGCTCGCACGACCGCTAAAAATACAATAACGCGAGTGCAGAGCTAGTCGAGGGTTTTCTCCAAACGCGAAAACATCAAGGCATAATTTTATACTTGTTATTTGACGGGTTTTATCAGGAAATTTTTAAAGAACTTGGTCTGAACCACGAACCTACCTAGAACCACGAAAAATAAAGTAAGTTATTTTCTTTTCAGTCTATTGCAAA